AGCGCCGCGTCCAGCAGCAGCACCAGTGGGTTGAGACGCGCGCGGCGGGCCTTGCGCGGAGAGCCCGCCTTCCGCAGCACCGAGCGCATCTCCTGGGCGACAGGGTGGGGGGCTTCAGTGACTTCCAAAGATTGGGAAGGAAATGCTCAAAACCAAAGTCAGGGTTCTCTCTGAGTGCTGTGATTTGGGCCTCTTTTTAAAAAAATATTTTTTAATTGATTTCAGAGAGGAAGGGAGAGGGAGAGAGATAGAAACATCAATGATGAGAATCATCCATCAGCTGCCTCCTGCACGCCCCGGCCGGGCAAGTGCCCTGACGGGCATTGAACCTCCTAGTTCCTAAGTTGATGCTCAACTACTGAGCCACGCGGGCCTGACTGATTTTGGCCTCTTTAGTCTTATCTATTTCCTTAAGTTTCAATGGTGTTTGGGTATTCCTTTCTAGTGGAAATATTCATTTAAAATATAAATCTGTATAACAACATATTAGTGCACTAATCTGTGACTTTATGATTCAAATGACAAGTCTTTTAATTTTCAGTTTTAGGGACTTTAAGAATCAGAAATTAGCCCTGGCCCACATGGTTCAGTTGGTTGGAGCAGCCATCCAATACACCGCAGGTTTGATTCCTGGTCAGGGCACATATCCAGGTTGTGGGTTTGATCCCCCATGGGGGCACTTATGGGAGGCAGCCTACCAATGTTTCTCTCTCACGTTAATGTTTTCTCTCTCTCTCTCCTTTCCTCCCTCCCTTTCTCTCTCTAAAATCAATTAAAAACAAACAAACAATAACTATGCCCCTGAAACCTGTATAATTTTGTTAACCTGTGTCACTCCAATACATTTAATAAAAAGGGGAAAAATCAGTAATGAACAGGGTCTGTGTTACTTTTTAAGTCTAAAATCCCATTCTTCAAACCTTCGATGCTCTAAGATTCTGGAATTGTGATTGTGATTCCAGGGTTGAATTATTGAATTCTGTGAGTCTTCAAGTTTCTCTGTGGCCAGGATTTTGTGATTCTACAATGAGGCAACTGGGCCATTTTACGTTCATGATGTCAAGATCCTAAGCCTCAACAGTTCTTGGCTCCACCCTCAGGAGGACCGGGGAGAAGGCATTTCGAGGTGCCCCCACTTCTTGGGGAATTGTTCCCCTCCATCTCTCCACACTGAGCGATCAGGACTGTTTTACATGACCACACCCCCCATCCCAGCCAAGATGCAAAGACTAGACAACATCAGCAGGAGGTCATCCCCTGGCCAAATAATAGCAGTAATAGCAGTTAACAGTCAAGTGCCAGGCACTATTCTAAGCAATATGTTAATATATTTTATCCTCATAGCAACTCTACGATTATTCTCATCCCCATTTTACAGAAGAGAAGACAAGCCCAGAGAGGCTACGTGTCTTGCCTAAGGTTGCACAGCGGTTAGTGCTGTGGAGCTGGTATTTGACACTTAACCACAACAGCCACAGCCTCAGAAACCAGAGACTTGCTCTTGGAAATCTGAATGGAAGAAGGTCCCAGTAGAGTTAAGAGGACTCCATGGGCTTGAACTAAGAAGTCATTTTGAGTCAGGGCTGGCCGGGCCATTTCTAGCCATGGGCTTGTTGAGGTATAAGAGGACAGAAGGCAGACACAAGAGCCTGTGTGGCAACCAGGGAGTTAATAAAGTGCCTTGCTTCAGACAGGCTTTTCAAGTCCCAGAATAAAACCTCTGTCTGCCAAGACACAGTCATTTCCAGGTTAGAAGACTCCACAATTCCTAGCCCTGGCCAGGTAGAGTGCCATCCCGATATGCCATGGTTTCAGGTTCAATCGATGGTCAGGGAACATATCAGAATCAACCAAGGCCCTAGCCGGTTTGGCTCAGTGGGTAGAGCGTCGGCCTGTGGACTGAAGGTTCCCTGGTTCCATTTCTGTCAAGGGCACATGCCTGGGTTGCAGGCTCGATCCCCAGTAGGGTGCGTGCAGGAGGAAGCCTATCAATGGTCCTCTCTCATCATTGATGTTTCTATTTCTCTCTCCCTTTCCCTTCCTCTCTGAAATCAATAAAAATATCTTAAAAACAAATAAACAAACAGACTTGACAGGCTTCTTAAAAAAAAAAAGAATCAACCAAGGAATGCATAAATAGGTGGAACAACAAATCAATGTTTCTCTCTAAAATCAATTAAAAAAAAACCCCATAAACAAAACTCCAGGATTCCTGAAAGGATGCCCTGGTATGGGCGGGGTGTATTGGAGAGGAACAGGGCAAGTCTGGGTGGCCAAGATGTTTGGTTGTTGCTCCATATGTGTTCTTCCTTTCTTTTGAACATGGGCACAGTAGATTAAAAACTACATTTCCCAGCCTCCCTTGTAGCTGGGTTCCTAGCCAATGGGATGCAGCAGACGTGATGGGCACAATTCCCAAGTTCTGTTCTAAATGGGAAGGGGCACCTCCCAGGTGCTAATATACCTCACTTTCCTCCAAATTACTCACCATGCTCTGCAGCTGCTCTGGTGGGCTGCTCTGGGGCGGGGCCGGGGGTGGTATGGGAGCTGGTGGGGCAGGAGCCGGGGGTCCTGCCCTGGCCTCAGGTCCCTCAGAGATGGAGGACAGCTCGGGCTCAGGCCCCCCGGGCCCACTATGACGATGGAAGAGGCGGCTGATGATCTGCTGGTACTGCTTCTTGTGGGTGGGGGGCAGGGCTACAGCAGGGCTCTGTTCCATGGAACCCCTTCGTTTGAGGGGACGAGGAATCTCCGCCAGCACCCGTGCCACCTCCTCCAGCTCGGGCACCGACTGTGCCTCGGGTGGCAACGCTGGCTGCAGCCGCGTGGGGCTGAGGGGCCGAGTGACAGGGCCTTCATCTGCGTCGCCAGCCTCCAGCACTGGTGCCAGCAGCCCCTCCAGCTCTGGTTCAGGCTCCAGCTCAGCAGGGGCTTTGGGGGCGCCTAGAAGGAACAGAGGCAAATCAGAGGGGTTCTCAGGAGACCCCCAAGACTCCCTCCCCACAACCTCCAAACCCTGCAAGCAGCACCTGATTTGCTGTGTGGCCTCAGGGCAGTTCCTTGATCTCTGGGCTACCTGTTCCCTGGGCTGTCATGCCATTTCCCCTTTATCAAGCACTTAGCACGTAGCTGGTGCTGTACATGCCTGTCTTGCTGAACTCTCACCTCACCATCCTGTGAGGTAGACATGTCTATCACCTCCTTATTACAGAAGGGAAACTCAGTCTCAGAGACAGCAAATCAGTTGCCCAGTGACAAAAAAAATTGGGTTGCGACCTCAGTTCTGACTCTGTACTCCTACCATCACGATAGACGTGAAGTTCTAAGCATCTAAGTATTTCTTCTCCTAGCATGTCAGGGCAAAACTCCTGCTGGGACTAGAATCCTGGCCTTGCTGGTCTCTTCTGACTGCCTTATTCCTCTCTATCAGAGCTTTAAAAGCAGGCAGAAACAATAATGATCACTTTATACACATTATTATTATACACTGAATTCCCAACAGAACTTGTGCAACGGATATTATTAATCCCCCTTCACAGCTGAGAAAATAGAAGCTCAGATAGGTTAACTGATTTATCCTGCATCTCACAGCATCCGCGGTGGAGAGAGGCTCAGAACCCAATCTACTCAACTCCAGGCCCTGCACTGGTCTCACACCAGAAAACAGTAATAATGATTATAACGAATATGATAGCTATAAGATTACTACACATCAGGCCCTAGTTTAAGGACTTTATATAAGACAGGTTCTGTCATCACCTTTTACGCTCAAGGAAATCGAGGTTCAGAGAGGTGAAGTGACTTGCTCAGGTCACTCGACATGGAGCCAGGCTGTCTGACTCCAGAGTCCATGCTTAACCATCCTGCTGTCTGTCCCTACCCCCCTCCCCGCTCCCCCAATTCCCACGCTTATCTGGCCTTGCTCTGCAGGGACAGGCTCTGAAAACAGGTGTTGGGCCCCGATGGCTCCCTCTGCTGGTCGGGTCCCCAGCCATTGGCCCTCCCTTCACCAAGCCCTCTGGAATCCCCATTGCTGACTCACCTTCACTCCACGTCTGTTGGGGGAACTGGGGCACTGGGGCAGGGGGTTGAAGCTGGAGCTGAGGCTGGGATGGTGGTTGTGACTGGGGCTGTGGGGGCACCTGGGACTGTGGTTGGGGCTGGGGCTGGGGCTGTAGCTGGGGCTGGGGAGGTGCTTGGGGCTGGGGGGGCAGCTTGGGCGGAGGAGCTCGGGAGAAGATGGGGGAGCCAGGGAACATGGCTCTGCTGGCCCCATGCTCCCAGAAGGCGTTCTGCAGCTTAAAGATCATGCTGAGGGGGATGGGGCGCTGGCGGGGGGCGCCCCGAGGCTGGGGGTTGGAAGGAGGCATGGGGATGCGGCTGACAGGCTGCCAGCTTCGCGGCAAAGTGCCTGATGGCCCCGGGGAGCCCAGCGATCGGCGGTAGCTGCCCACGTCAGAACGCCTGTCATTGGCCAGAGGGGAGACCTTGTAATTGCGGGGCAAGGTGGCGCTGGTGAGGTTGTCCTGGGGAGAAAGGGGGGAGGAGGGAAGGGAGAGGGGCTCAGGCGGGAGGAAGATAAGGGAAGGGGGGGGCAGCAAACGATGAGAAGGGAGAGAAGGAGGTGAGGGAAGCCGGAGAAAGTGAGGGGAAGAGGACAGGGAAGGACTGGAAATCCACGATAAAGAAGGAGGCGCTTGAGGGAAGGGCACAGAAAATGGGGGCGCGGCCTGGAGGGGGAGACTAGCCCTGACCCCGCTCCCGGCCCTTGCCCGACAGCCCCCTCCCCAAGCTGCTCCAGCCCCTCACCTTGCCGGTGGCCCCCAGCCCGTCCAGGCTGCTCTCTCTCCAGGGTAACAGCTGCAGGCCCGGGGAGGAGGGCCTCCCGAAGGCGTCCAGGCCTGCGAGGGGGGAGTCATTAGGATCTGGGGGCCGCCTCTCCGGCTGCCCCCCCCCCACCCCGCCCCCCGCT